CAAGGCAGGTCTATTAGTGCAGGGGTGTGGGCGATGGGGCATGTGTAATCAGGACTGGGTAAAGATTCTAATGGAATGCTAGCACTGGTAGAAAGAGAAAAGGGATAGTTTTGAGGCTCAAAGCTCAAAAGTCTTGGGATGTGTGAACCACTGATGTTTTCTATTGAAGGTTAAAGTTCCTAAAAGAAGGATAAAATTATTTCCTATAGTGAGCAATAAAGTTTTATTTTCTTGTGCAAAAATCCCCTGGAATAATGGCTATGAAGTTGTGAAGACAAATGTTAAAATCATGTTAACGTAGACAATAAGTTGTGTAGGGATAGATGATTTCAGTTATCAATATAATGAGAAGCGAAGATGGATTTCAATAAGCCGCTAGGCTGTCTTATAAAATATTTGTGGATAAGATGAAGCAGTGTGGCTTGCCTGATTTCCTAGTAGTCCTAGTTGAAACATCAGCTAAGCCTATCATTAATAGGATTTAAATTCCAGGAACTGAACTGGGAGGAGGCCAACAAAAAACAAGAAGGTTCAAATTTTAAACAAATTTCTTAAAACTGAAAGTCAAGCTGAAAAATAAAGATCACATGGGAATTCTGGAGACAGGAGCAAAGCTAGAAATGAGGAAAAAAGGTCATAAGTAGAACCAAAACAAAGTGCAACCTGACTCCGGAAAATGAAGTATGGCACGGTGGGCTCGGCTTGGTGCTTTCTAGGTCACTTACAGAGAACACCAAATAAATTCAAATTTCCTAAATACAACCTGGACTCCAGTTTGACTTCTTCCTCCTCTTCCTTCTCCTCCTCCTCCTTCTTCTTCTTTCTCCTTCTCCTTCTGTTTTCTTGAGACAGGGTCTCATCGTGTAGTTAAATCTGGGCTTAAAATCACTATGCAGCCCAGGCTGTCTTCAAATTTTTGGTGACCCTCTTGCTTCAGCCTTCTGAGCGCTGGGATTGCAGGCATCCAGCACCAGCACAGTTTAGCTTCTTAGTCAACGCATATTACTGCCATTCTCACTCTGGTCAATTTGTCACTTCAGGCATCATCAAAAGTAAGGACCTAGATGTTTGCTGGGATTTGAGTGCAAGACTTCGCTTCATGGCTTGCAGATGCCTAATTCTTGGATAAGTCACGCTCGCTTAAAGGTCTAGCTTCAAAGCAGAGAGGTATCCCTAACCTCATCCCATCCCTCAAATACCACCACTATTTAGGCTCCTCCTATCAAGCAGTAAATTGGGTCTGGGGCTTTTCTAATGTCTGTTTTGTACAGTGCATGGCGTACTTGGGAAACTTTCAAACATGGAAGAGGGGCTACTTTCCATGAATTCCTAAATACTTCTGTCATTCAGGCACTTCTCCTTGCCTCAGGGACTGGAGGGGTCCACTTTGCTGTTAGAATATCTAGTGCTTCTTCTACTTCATGCTCTTGCTCCCCAGCTCCCTAAAGTACAGGTCACTGGAATGGAAGACAGGTTGTGGAAATTCAGACAGATCTGAATTTGCAGCCATTTGGTTTTCAAATAGCTCTGTGACCTTGAGCCAGCCCAAGAAAGAATCCTCAACTTTTCATAAAGGACCAGTGGAATTAGTGAGGCAAAATTGCTGGAGAATAAAGAAGTTGTAAGTGAAGCAATGAATTGTTGAGAGTTGTATCCCTATTATGCTTCCACTTCATGTCCCCTTAAGATGTAGAGATTTAGACATTCTGCCCAGAATCCATGTTTCCTCTTTGACCAGGAACATTCAATGCACTTTCAGTCGCTGTGTTCTTCCTCTGGGAAATACAGAAGCATTGGTTACAAATGTAGACTTATGCAGACAACTGCTATATTCAACTTGATGGAAAGAAGAGCAAAATTCTCTGAGAATGGCTTGCTTCTGATTTCTGAAAGTGGTGGAATTGAACTAATAGATTTCCAAACTAAATGCCCTAAATACTTTTCTAACAGCTTATATAATTCATTTGCCATAATTTCAACATCCAAAAATAACACAGGATTTTACCCCAAAAGTGACTCCTTGCACATGGCAGGCTAGAGTTAGAGAATCTTCTCCGGTCCAGTACCTACCGTGTTTGAGAGTGCTTAATCAGGAGCCATCTGGGGAAAAGGTCCATTTGTTCAAGACTGAATCACAGAACAACTACACTTCAGGGTTTCTGGGGTCACCCTGCCACAGTGACTGGGAATTAGGTGTGTGGAATTTTTGCACTTATGGCACTTTTGGTGCTCTTAAGGCTTGGAGATGATGGAGCATTTGGGATTTGGGGTTTTCATATTAAGGATGCTCAACCTATCTATAACTTATTGATGTAATTATATTTGTAATCCTGTGCAAACATCACCACTATTTCCAAAACATTTACTGCATCCATTTAGCAATAACTTCCCAATTCCCTTCTCCCCCATAACACTGTAACTTATATGCTACTTTTTGTCCCTATGAATTTGCCCATTTCAGGTGCTTTATATAAGTAGAATCAAATAATATTTGTTCTTGTTTGTTTGGCTCTTCATTTAGCATAATGTCTTCAAGGTTCAAAACTTTATTTTTTTATAATGAATAATATTCCATTGTATGTATATGCTACATTTTGTTCAGCTATTCATCTGTTGATGGACACTGGGCTTGTTTCTACCTTTTGGCCATATTCAGTGGATAATGATGTCATAAATATTCATGTCCATGTATCTCTTAGTCTCCGTTTTCAATTATTTTGGATAGAGTATGAAAATTTATATTTAATTCTTAGAGGAATTGGCAATCTTTTTTATAGCAGCTGTACCATTTTACGTTCTCATCAGCAATATTTGAGGGTTCTAATTTCTTCGTCTCTTCATTAACAATTGTTATTATCTATTGTTTTATTTAATCAATACCCTAGTAGGTGTGTTATACTCTGGTTTCTCTTCAGATTGTATAAATCTTTCACCTTTTACTAGTAGGTGTGATAGTGGTATCTTTTTGAGAAAGTACTTTACTAGGCTTTTGACTTGTATTTCCCTAATAATCCATGATGATGTGGAGCATCTTCCCATGTGCTCATTGACAATTTGTGTATCTTCTTGGAGATGTCTATTCAGATGCTTTGCCTATTTTAGAAATTAGCTACTTGGGGCGGGGGGGTTTGCTGTTGTTATTGAATTGTAGTATTTCTTCATATATTCTGGAAGCTAGACTGTTACCAGGTATGTGTTCGAAAATATTTTCTCCAATTCTGTGTTATCTTTTCACTCTGCTGATAGTGTTATTTGATGCATAAAGTTTAAATTTTTTTATCATGAACAATTCATTTTTTTCTCCAGTTGCTCAGACTTTGCATATCATACTTAGAAAACAATTGCCAAATCCCAGGCCATGAAGGTTTCCTACTATGCTTTCTTCTAAGAGTTTACTAGTATCAGCTCTTAAATTTAGATCTTTCATCAGTTTAAATTAGTTTTCACATATAATATAAGGTAAAGGTCCAAAGTCATGTTTTTGTATAGGAGATCCAGTTTTCCTGGGACCACTTCTTGAAGACTATCTCATCCTTGTTGAATGGGCTTGGCACCCTTTTCAAAATCAGTTGATCATATATTTAAGGATTTGCTGTGAGCTCTATTCTACTTGTCTGTATGTGTATGCTATGCCAGTACCACATTGTTTTGAATTCTATAGTTCGGTAATAAGTATTGAAATTGTGTGCTGTGATTTCCCCAACTTCGTCCTTCTTTTTCAAGATTGTTCTGGATATCAGGTGATCCCTTAAATTCCTTATGAATTTTAGGATTAGCTTGTCAGTTTCTCCAATAAAGTCAACTAGAATTTTATTTGTTTTTTGTTTTTGTTTTTTGGTTTTTCTCTGGTACCGGGAACCGAACTCACGACCTTGCGCTTGCCAGGCAGGCGCTTTTTGCCACTGAGCTAAATCCCCAGCCCCTAGAATTTTAATAAATATTGTGTTACATGCCTATAATCCCAGCACTTGGGAGGCTGAGGCAGGAGAATCACTGCAAGCTTGAGGCCAGCCTGGGCTACATAGTGAATTCCAGGCAGCCTGAACTGCATAGTGAAACCCTGTCTCAAAAAAACAAAAACAAAAGAATTGTATTAGATATGTATGTCAGTTTTGGAAACACTGGCCATCTTAATATTTAATCTTCTGATCTTCTACCTAGGAACACATAGACATATTAAAGAAAATCTAGGATCTTTTCTCTGTGGAAAGTTTTAAAAATATTAATTCAATGTTTTCTGAGAATTAAGCTTCAAGTTTATTTTTTTCTGTATCATTTTTAGTATTTAATGTCCCTTTCATTTATTGCTGCTCTAATATTTATTATTTGCTTTTTTCTGTTTGTTTTAAGTTTAGTTTGCTCTTCTTTTTCTAGTTTCATAAAGTGGAAAGTTAGGTTACAGATTTGAGAGCAGTGTGGATTTTTTTACAGTGTCTCACACATGCTGGGCAAGTGCTCTACCATCCCCAGCCCAAGAACTTTGTCCTTTTTAATGTGTTTATAGTTATAAACTCCCCTGCAACCATTGCTTTTGCTGCATTTCATAAGTTCTGGTGACTGTGTTTTCCTTTTCATTCATCTCAAAATATTTTGCAATTTCCCTTATGATTTTTGATTCATTAGTTACTTAGGATTTGTTTATTTCTACCTGTTCATCAATTCCCCAAATTTCTTTCTCATACTGACTTTTAATTTCGTTCCATTGTAATCACAGTGTGCCTTGTATGAGGTCAATCACTTTGAATTTATTCCAACTTATTCAGTGACTTGGCTTTTTCCATCCTCGTTCCCCCCCTCTTTACTCCCCTTCACCTTTGGGAAAGATCTACCTCCCTCCTTCCAGTCATCCATCTTTTATTCGCCCTTATTTATACTTTGGTTTTTTCATAAAAGCCATGTAATATTTAAGCTTTTATGTCTGATTTATTTCACTTAACATTATGATCTCAAAGTGTATCTACTTTCTTATAAATGACTCAAGTTTATCTTAGAAGAGAAGGTTTTGAATGTATTCACCATAAAGAAATTTTATTAAAAGTATAAGCAGATAGGTAGGCAGATTACCCCAATTTGTCATTGTCCAGTGAATACATGAATCAGCACATCACAATGCATCTCATATATGTGTACAGTTATGTGTCCAAAAAGAGAGGGGGTTCTTGCTTGCCAGATTTTTTTCTTCTTCTATAGTAGTCCCCCTTTATCTGCTTTCACTTTTTATGGCTTCAGTTACTCATGGCCATTATCTGAAAATATTAAACAGAAAATTCCAGATATAAATAATTCATAAGTTTTAATTTCCACACCATTCTGAGCAGTTTGATGAAATCTTGTACCTTCTCACCTGTCCTATCCAGGACATGAATCATCCCTCTGTCCAGCGTATCCACAGTGTATACTCTGCTCATTCATCAGTCATTTAGTGGCAGTCTTGGTTATCAAACTGACTTTTGAAATAGAGCAGTTCTTGTGCTCAGATAGCCTTCACATAGCAGAATAATGCCACTGCACAATGCCTATGTCACTCACCTCACTTCACCTCAGCACGTAGGCGTTCCTCTTACATCCTCTAGTCACAAAAGAAAAGTAAGCACAGAGCAATAAGGTACTGAGAGAGAGGAGAGAACATTAAAATATATTATAATCATTCTATTATTAACAATTAAATATATTATTAAAATATATTATAATCATTCTATTATTAACAATTGTTGATCTTTTACCATGCCTAATTAATAAATGAAACTTTATCATAGATATATGTGTATAGGAAAAATCATAGTAAATACAGGCTCAGTGCTGTCTACAGTCTCAGGCATCCGTTGGAGGTCTTGGAACACACCTCGTGCAGATGAGGAGGAGCAACTGTATTTTGAATATGGTGTCCTGTTGCCTTCTGGACTCCACTGTTTCTGACAAGAAGTCATCTGTTAATCTTCTTGGGGTTCCCTTGTAGGTGATGAATTTTCTCTTTCTATGTTCAAACTTTTGTCTTTCAACATTTTGACTATAATATGTCTGGATCTCTTTGTGCTTATCCTACTTAGAGTTGAGAATTTTCAATGTGTAAAATAACATTTTTCATCAGCTTTGGGAAATTTTTAGTTATTACTTCTTTGAACACTTTTTGTTTCTTTCTTTTCTATCTTTCCACTAAAAAGTTGCCCCACATTTACCTGAGACTATGCTCATTTTAAAAATTATTTTCTCTGTCTCCTTCAGGCTACATAATCTCTATTAATCTATTGTCAAGTTCACTAATTCTTTTTTCTGCCAGTTTAAGTCTAACATGTATCCCCACTAGCAAATTTTCATTTAGTTATCGCACTTTTCAACTCTAAAACTTCCATTTCTTTTTTTTTCAAAAATTCCATTTCTTTCCCAAATTTCAAGTTATTTTATAATTTCTATTCCTTTACCGATAACCTCTATTTGGTGAGACATGTCTTCCCATATTCTTAGGGTATAGTTTCCTTTAATTGTTTTTTTTTGTTGTTGTTGTTTTTTCTTTTGTTGTTTTTTTGTTTTTGGTTTTTTGGTTTTTTTTTTTTTCGAGACAGTCTTGCTATATAGTTCAGGCTGGCCTTGAACTCACTTATGTATCCCAGGCTGGCCTCCAACTCACAGTGATCATCCTGCCTCAGCCTCCCAAGTGCTGAGATTACTGGCATAAGCCACCATGCCCAACTCCTTTAGCTCTCTGAACAAATTTATAAGAGCTGTTTTGTGTGTGTGGTACTGTGGATCGAACTCAGGGTATTCACACTGAAATACATCCCCCCTTTTTCATTTTTTACTCTGAGACAAGTTCTCACTGAGTTGCTAAATCGCCCAGGCTGGAATTGAATTCGTAATCTTCCTACAAGATCTTGTAACCTCGGCCTACAAGAGTGCTGGAATTATAAGCATGCCCCACCACACTTGACTATACCAGCCTCACGTGGTGGTGTATGCCTGTAATCCCAGCACTTGGAAGGCTGAGGCATGAGAATTGCTGCAAGTTCAAGGCCAGCCTGGGATACATAGTGAGATTTTTTTTTGGTACCAGGATTCGAACTCAGGACCTTGGGCTTGCCAAGCAGGAGCTGTGCCACTGAGCTCCATCACTGGCTACATAGTGAGATTCTGTCTTAAAAATCCAACATTAAAATGTGTTTTAGAAATGCTTGCCTTGAAGCCTTTCTCTTCTCATTCCAACATGCAACCACTCGAGGCAGTTTTTGTTGCCTGATTTGGCTCGTGTTTCCCTGCTTCATCCTGTGGTTTATAATGTTTTGTTGAAAACTGGACATCTGGGCTTTGTTGTTGTTGTTTGTTCTTACTTGTTTACTGATATGGCTGGACTGAGTCACTGACATTTTCTTTCTCCTGCAGAGTGCCACGTCCGTATTATTCCTCAGAAGCAGCAGCCGCGGAAAGGCCCACAGTGTCTCTGTCATGCCCGTGTAAACTGGCATGTCTCTCCTGATACCACCCAGAGCTGTTAGCCGCCGTTAATTACTAACTGGCTGCTCTCTTTCCTTCGACACTGCTCTAAGGTGTGAGGGGCCACACGCTGACCTGACTAACGCACTGCCCTTTGCCGGCCAGGATGTGACCACACGCCGAGACTCACTCAAATCGCAGACTGCCAGCCGCCCCTTCTGCTGCTTCTGTCTGCTGAGCTCCGTGCTTGCAAATACAAATAGGAAAGAAAGAAGTCCCATTACCCTTGTTTGCAGGTGATATGATCCATTATTCAGAAGACTCAAAGACCCTACCAAAAGACTTAGGCCGACAAACAAATTTGGCAAAGCACCAGGATATAAAATCAACGTTAAAAATCAACAGCTTGGGCTGGAGATGTAGCTCAGTGGTGGAGTGCTTGCCTAGCACGCATAAGGCCCTGAGTTCAATCCCCAGCACCACAAAAAAAAAAAAAGAAGAAGAAGAAAATCAATAGCTTTTCTATACACCAAAAATGGACTAGCTGAAAAAAAAAATGAGGAAAATAATTCCATTAACACAGCTTCAAAAAAAAAATACTTAGGAATCATCTTAACTAAGGAGGTGAAAGACCTGAACAATGAAAATTTCATAATGCTGAAAGGATGCTGAGTGCATAATGCTGAAGAAGACAAGAGAAGACAGGAAGACCGCCCAAGTGCATCGACTGGCAGAATTAATACTGTTAGCATGGCTACATTCCCGAAAGCAAGCTACAGGTGCAACGCCATCTCCATCAAATGCCGATGGCGTTCTTCACAGAATTAAAGCAAACAATCCTAAAACTCATACAGAAACATGAAAGCCAGAACGACAACAGCAATATTAAGCAAAAAGAGCAAGGCTGGAGGCATCACAATTCCCAATTTCTAGTTGTACTATGAAGCCACAGTAACAAAAACAGTACAGTACTGGCACAAAAAGTAGGCATATAGGCAAATGAAACACAATAGAAGACACAGAAACAAATCCACACAACTGTAGCCATCCAGTTCTGGACAAAGAAGCCAAAATCATATGCTGGGAAAGGAGAGCCCCCTCCCCTTGCTTTTGAGACAGGGTCCTTCTGTGTAATTCAGGCTGGCCTTGAACTTGCTGCAATCATCCTGCTTCAGCCTCCTGAGCACTGGCATTATGGGCCATTTCCCCAGCCAAGGGAGCCTCTTATCACATGTTGCTGGAGAAACAGGATATCCACCTGACTGAAGATTGAAACTAGGTCCTTATCTCTCCTTTTGTGCAAAAATCTATTCAAAATGAGTCAAAGATGGAAGGATAAGACCTGAAATTTTGGGACTGCTAAGGAAAACATAGGGGTAAACACTTGAAGCCATAAGACTTCCTGGGTAAGACTCCAGTAATACAGGAAATAATAGCAAGAATCAAGAAGTGGGATTACATCAAATTAAAGCTTCTGCCGAGCAAGGGAAACAACTAACAGAATGAAGAGACAGCCTACACAGTGGGAGAAAACTTTCTTTCATCTGTCTGTTTGTTTATTTGTTTATCATTTATCTGCATTGTTTTCACTTGCCCTTTGTTTCTGAGTTTCCATCATGTCCTGAACAGTTGGTAGTTTATTTCAATCTGTGTTTTCCTTGTAGGACCATAATTTCATTTCAGATGTTCTTTTTTTAACTTTTTTTTGAGACAGGGTCTCATTATGCAGTTTAGGCTGTCCTTGAACTCACTGTGTATCCCAAGATGACCTCTAACTCAAAGGGATCCTTTTGCCTCAGCCTCCTAAGGGCTGGGATTACAGCTGTGCACCACCATGTCCAGTGTTTTTTAAAGCTTTTTATTTTATTTTATTAGTATATGTTTGCATACGTGCAGGTTACAGTCATCTTGAGGAATGGGCACATGTACACACTATAGCTTGTTTTTTTGTTTTTTAAATCTCCTTCCCCTTTCTTCTCCCCTCCCTTCCTCCTCTTCTAATTCCCCGTCCTGATTTTCATTCTTGTTGGCATTGTTAATCTTAGCTCATGTTATGCCGTAGAATGTTTACACCCACTGAGGTCATTAGGCTCCTGTGCGTGGTATTCTTCGTTCTACTTACTTCCCCTTCCCCTGCTCCTCACCCCTCGCCCTTCTTCTCCTGGACCACTTCCCTATTGCAAGAGACCGGTCCCCTAGTCCCTTCTATCCATCCTTTATTTTTCTCCTTGTTTGTACCTTGCCTCACTCAAACGAGAGATACTAAATGATATTTAAGCGTGTGTGTCTGCTTTATTTCAATCAACATGACATTTTCTAAGTCCATCCATTTTCCTACAAATATTTCAAATTTGTCATTCTTTATAGCTGAGTAGTATTCCATTGTATATAGATACCACATTTTTCTTTATCCAATCATCTGTTGATGAGTATACAGGCTGCTTCCAAGATTTATCTATTACAAATTGTGCTGCAATAAACACTGGTATGTAAGTATTGCTGTAATATGACTTTTAAGCTCTTTGGGGAAGATCCCTGGATGGGGGAAAGCTGGGTCATATGGAATTTTTCATTTCAATTCTTTGAGAAATCTCCATACTAATTTCCATAATGATTGTACTAGTCCACATTCCCACCAACAATGAAAGAGGGTCCCTTTTTCAGCACAGCTATGCCAGAATTTGTTACTGTTTGATTTCTTCATGATTGCCATTCTTTCTGGAATGAGGTGGAGTCTTAGCATTATTTAATTTGCATTTCTCTAATGCCCAGTGTCATGGTTTGCATCTAGATGCTCCCCCAAGGCCTCATGCGATCTTAGAGTTTTTTCAGAGGTGGCTGAAACTAGAACGTGTGATTGATTCATAGTGCAATGCTGGGATGAAGTGTGGGTGTTCGCTGGATCAGTCCACTGACTGAATTGGCACAGCCCTAACCCTAGCAGACTGAATACAATGTCAGGGACAGAAAGAGGCTTCCTCACGCTCCCCTGCTGCTTTTGCTGTCTTCCGCCACCATGAGCTGCTGCCCTCTGCCATGTGCCACCCTGCCTTGGAGCCAGCCAACTATGGACTGAAACCTCTATAAACTGTGAGCCAAATAAACCTTTCCTCCCTTAACTTTGGGTGTCAAATATTTTGTCCC